CTGTCGGCACAGATGAGGACGCCGAAACCTGGAGGCCTCTATCACTCTGCACTCCGCAGCACAGAGAAGCAAAAATTCGGATTTTCAACACCAAGTCAGTCAGTTCTTCTGTATGGAGTAGAAACTTGGCTCGAACATCACGACAAGCATTTCAAACAGGTTACAGGTTACTTTTGTCAGCAGTTGTTTTCGCTCCATATTGAAGACCAAATGGCCAGAAAGAATTAGCAAACAGACCAAGAATCTAACCGTCAACAAATATGCACCAGAAAATAGAGATGGATTAGGCCCATACTGAGGAGATCATCGAATGACATCACGCGCCAGGTAATCGCTCGAGTGGGACCCGAACGGGAAACGACGAGTAGGAAGTCCGGGGGCGGTATGCGCTCGGTCGGTGTTCAACGTAGAACTTTGCACCTACGTGCGGCAGTTCAAGTCGCCACACTCCCTCCTTGTAGCACACAAAGCAAGAGAAGAAACTAGAAGAAATGCATAATAGAGAGAGACAGTAAACAGAGGTGTGAGACAAAGGAATAGTGATAACGAAGAACAAAACAGTTCCATTGGAGATCATAAGTCACAAGGAGTGGATGCATCTGCGCCAGCCAGGCATTGAGAACGATTTGGAGCCAATTATATCACCAATTGTTTCCAACCATTGGTTTTTACCGTCCCGAGGACCCCAACCAGTCAGGAAGTCTACACCTTCCTACGTGATTTATACTAACTGTTGTAGATTTCATTGGCTGGTGAGGCCATGTTTGGTTTGACCGCCGCTAGGTGTTTTCCAGCCTGACCCTATATCTGCCAACATTGCCCATTGTCGAGGAAGGCGATGACTAGGCATGCATGCGTAACACATGTCCTAACCATCTCAGTCGATGTAATTTCACAGTCATCAACTGTGCGTCGGTGGCACAGTGGTTAGGACTCTCGCCGACCATGCACATGGTCCGGGGTTCGACCCCCTGCCGACGCACACCCGATATCTGTGGTCGGCCTGCAAAATTTGGGCTACCGATATCCATGCTGAAAATTCCATACTTGCACTGAAAATACGGTGTGGAATCAAGCTGCAATCAAAATAAAATAAATTTTCCCGCCTTACCTAGCACTCGACCGACGCCTAACCTCAATATTGCTCACCTTATTATACACCACCAATTCACGCGGGAGATAGAACGCAGACACCTATGATCGAACACAGCTAATCTTCTCATGTCTTCCACTCTCAATGGCCAGGTCTCACAGCCAGCCATAAAGGAGGACGGAGCGGACTGCTGAGCAGTACACACGCCCTTTGATCGATAGACAGCCAGCCGGATATCACGTCTACGCCAGAGACGGCGTAAACTGGCATTTGCGAAATTGGCCCTCTGTATTCGTGCTGAGATTTCGTCGGAGATCAACCCGTTGGGGATGATGGTACTTTCCAAGTAAGTGAAGCGGTCAACGTGCTCTACCACTTCACTTCCTATTTATAACCTAGGGGTCGGTGAAGTTCAATCCTGCAGCATCATCTAACATTTGACAGCAGGATTGAATCGCATACTAAACATTCGTAGATTGCAGCTCCTCAAGGTGTTCAGAACACTCTGCTCTATTTTTTCAGCGTCCTCACCTAGCAGGCAGGAAGGACCCTGTCGTCTGCATATTCCAGGTCAACAAGATTATCGCCTCTCTGGTAACAAGTCAATCTCTGAGTCACTGAAGTGAGTTAGGGTTAAGTCCATTAGTACGTCTATGGGGCAGTATGCAGTAGACTGTGAGAGGAGATGAGGGATCATAGTCAATTCCTATGGTCAGCTAAATATGACTTCAGAGAATAGGACAAAGTGGAAATGTGCGCTGTTGAAGGCCTACGTCCGTCCCACTCGGAACCCAATGGGAACAATATAACATAAAAAGAATCGTGAGGAGTTAATGGACGTAGGCGACTACAAGGAGTGAATGCACCTCGGCTCCAATGAAAAGAGTCTTGAGACGTTTCACCAATAGTCTCTAGTCAATTGGTTCTTAACCTCCCGACGACCCTAATCAGGCAGTCTACACCTCCCTCCATACGGGGGGCCAAAACCGTACCATGAACAGAAATAATAGTTCTGACAATACCTTGAATTGTGAATAAAGCGGACGTATTTTGAAAACCTTTTTATTATCAGAATGGTTGAATGAAAGGCATTCATTACTAATGGTGTCATACGACGTGACTGCCTTATTTACAAAGGTACCAGTGATGGGAACAATAGATATCATTTGTAAACAAAACAGATCTATTGCCATTACCGGAGTCAGAGATGAAACGACTACTAATTCTTTGCACAAAAGACATCCAATTTAGATTCAATAACCAATTCTACCGACAAATTGATGGGGTCGCCATGGGTTCACCTCTAGGACCCATTCTAGCAGACATCTTCATGGGCTATCTCGAACAGACGCGACTGAGTGATGCTATCAATGAAACAACATACTACCGTCGATACGTCGGCGATACTTTTGTTGTTTGTAACAACATGAGTCAGGCATCCGTATTATTTAACCGCCTAAATGGGATCCACCCAAACATTAAATTTACCATGGAATACGAACACAACCATGAGTTCAACTTCCTGGACCTAAATATAAAAAGAAGAGACGATGGAACGGTCGAAAAGTCCATCAACAGAAAAGAAACTTGGACCGGACAATACCTTCACTACAACACCTTCTGCCTTATAAGCTATAAGCGGGGATTAGTAAGGACACTGTACGACAGGGCCAGGAAGTTATGTTCGCCCAACAAAATAGAAGAAGAATTAAGCTTTGTTGAAAAATGCCTTAAGGAAATAGGGTATCCAAAAGGATTTATCCTAAAGTACAGCAAAGAAAGAGATGAGAAAGCGAAGTGTCCAACAGTTGAAAAGAAGAAAGTGTTCATTTGCCTCCCATACAAAGGAGAAGCAGTATCACAAAACATTGAAAAGAGGATGAAAGGAACAATAAAGAGATGCTTCTCTGCAGCTAAGCTGGTGACATTACACAGCACTACATGCTCTATAAACCAATCGAAACTGGATAAGTACCCTGCTGATGTTACCTCCAACTGCATTTATAAATTAACGTGCACCTGCAGCAGCAAGTACATCGGAAGGACAGAAAGAAGGGCTTCTATCCGCTGTTTTCACAGCTTATTTCGAGAAACTTATGCTAAAAAGGAAGCAAATATTCACAAAGTGCAATTACCAGACACCCGCACTGTGGATACGGGTCATTTTGTCGAGATTTCCAAATCCTTCAAAATATTAAACATATAAAGGACAGCGAATCTACTACGATTTACAGCTGAAGCAATTACAGCAATCAAACGTCTCAGACCAAACTTATACACACAGAAAGAGAGAGTGTAGTCAATCTCTCACTCCCTTGGTAACCATATCACTTTCATTACACTGATTACTCATACACACTAGTAAGCTCAGCTCAGCTCATTAAGCAAGTTTTCAATTTGATGAACTTTAGCCTTCTTGAGTTGTCATGTTGACGAACAAGCTAACACTGTTTATTTGATTTTTCTGTTATCTGTCTTCTCTCACCCCCCCCCTTTTTTTCTTTTTTCACAGTTTGATAGTATAGAAATTGATGGCAACTTAAACTACAAAAAATTCTAATCCTTATATTCCGGATGCGTTCATCTTGTAATGTTTTCTCTATTACCTTTCAAACAATGAAGTATGAAATGTTATCACACTATTTATAACCATTGTAATTTCAGGTAGTTTTCAGCAGCTGATGAGGGTAACCTGTGAAATAGAATGATGATCGCATCATTTTATACTGCAAATCTGGTCTTTCTTTCTTGCTTTATCGAAATTTATCAAGGGAACCAAGTGTATGAAAACTTTTAACTTTTTTATTTAATCTACTTTATATGTTAGTCTGCTTTATACGTCTACAAAAAAGACAAAAGAGCAGTTTAAATGAGCCACTGTACACATGTCACCAAGTATTATTAACCATTGATAGCTGAACAGTGCTACCACCGATTTTTTTTTACTTCGGCTATCTCCTACGGGAGGATGAGCCGGCTTCATGAACATGTCGAATCATCGCTGCCCAGGCGCGACGATCTGATGCAAGGTTTTGCGACAGGGTTATCCAATTCTTGTTCCACAGACGGAGTCCGTAGACGGTTTGTAGCCCCAGGCACTCCATATCAGCCTTGACTGTACCAAGCCATGTTTTCAGCTGTCCACCCCTGCGACATCGCCAAGATGGTAATGGCGAGAGATTTAGAACTGATTTGACCAGATCGTCATCTGGTCGGCACAGAACATGGCCAAACCACCGAAGGCGACGTTGTTGGACCAGTACTGGAATTTGGTTGATGTTGTAGCAACGACGCACGAGAGTTCATGAAGTTTCATGGGAATTTGGTATGAGTGATGTCCCCAGAATCGCTCGGCCTTTTGTTTGAGAGTGCAGCTCTAGCCTTTACACAACCAAGTGTGACCTACAAGGCAGTAGGAGTGGAGTAGGGAGTCCACTATCTATTGGCAGCCGGTGACCGGAGTTCGGTTCATACGCCTTTTTGAATGGGGCCAGACATCCAGAACATCCAACAAGCCCTTTGTCCATACGTCTGCCGGTGAGCTCCAGTGAGCTTCATACGCCAGTCGTTGGAGGTTTGGAATCAGGGTTTAGCCATCTCCCCTAGACTGTCATCCAATGGACAGTCAACTCGGTGAAGAGCGCCGGGCATCCGCTTTCGCCCTCTCACTTTGGTGAAAAGCACCTCCGTCACGTGAAGGCAGTGAGTAGGACTTCCTCAGGAGAGGCTATGTAAGACGCCCGGTCATATGGGACCATTTCAAGAGGTGTGCGGAGGGGTGGCCAACCCGCAGCGCAAGCCACCCACCCCCGACCATCCTGAGGCTTTGGATGCCACCGATACAACAACAAAACTCCCACACAACAACAACACACAAGTAAACCCCACCCCATGAAAGATTACTTACTATTAAAGTATATGGAGCCTTGGATTCAGTTAAGGTGTCTGCATTTGCATCAGTCTCAGTGGGATCTGAGTTTGTCGTCGTCTTCTCGTTATCCGGATTAGGATCAGTCCAAATTTCTTCTACAACTCGAAATCTATACAGATAATAACAAAAAGAACAAATGCAATTGGAAAATGAAAAAAAATTTGTCTTTACACTCTCCTCTACCCGCCACCCCCCACCCAACAACAAATCTCGTACAAGATGATAATACACAGTCATGTGTAAATAAAATAACCAATGCAGTGGATGCTTGTTTATGCAATGTCATATCAGATATAAATTTACCATAAAACACAAAGATTATTATTATTATTGTTTCCTTTAATTCCCAGAGGAACATAGGGCTACAGCCGCTCACGTCTCCATTGCGTTCGGTTCTCTGCTAGAGTCTTCACCTGGCTCCATGTCTGCCCACACGTTTTCATCTCCTCTTCACATGACCTCCTCCAAATCACCCCACTCTCGCACTGACGACCAACTCGCCGCTTCCCTTTCCGTTAGGTTCCACTCGAGCAATGGCTTGTCTAGTGATGTCACCCACTTGATGGTTTCCTCACAGTATGGCCTGCCAATCCATCACCATTTCTTCCTGCCTATTTGTTGCATAATCAGTTCCTGCTGTGTTGGTTCGCACATTGCCAGAGATCCCACCCTGTTGCTGATCTTTTCTGGCCGGCCATCTGATCTTGAGCAGTGTTGAGCGAAGACAACTGTTGATGAAGGTCTGTAGTTTGTTTGAGATGCTCTTCATGACGCGCTGGCCAAGTCTCTGATCCGTATAGTAGGAAAGAATTCACATTGGAGTTGAAAATCCAGATCTTATTTTTGATGCTGAGTGCAAAGATTGCAAACAAATTATTTACGACTGTCTGTCTCTGTCTGCCTGGATTCAACATAGAACTTGGCACCGAAGTGCAACAGTTCGAGTTGCCACCTTCCAAATAACACACAAAGGTAGACAAGAAGATGGATGAGTGAAGAGAATCAATCAATAGAGTTTTGATAAGTATAAGAGTGAGACACAATGAGTAATGGTAGAAAGGAATATGAAAGATTACACAAGAGACTGAATACATCTGTGTAAGCCATTGACAACGACTTAGAGCCATGTCACCTATTGTCCGTCTCCAGTCATTGATTCTTAGAGTTCCGAGGGCGGGCCCCAACCAACAGGAAGTCTGCATCTCCCTACCTGACTGACTCAGTTTAACTGTCAGGGATTTCATGGATTGATGAGGCCATGTTTTTGTTTGGCATGGCACCACTTACTCTTTTCCAACCTGCTTATATGTAGATCAGCTAGTAATGCCCGTCGGGAGGGGGAGGCGATGGTTAGGCATGTGGAGCACGTCACCTAGCCATCTCAATCTATGTAACTTTATAGGCTCGTCGATTGATTTTCCCTCTTTGCCCAACACTCTACGCCTAACCTGACGTCGACATTACTTACCTTATTATGCCACCTAACGTGAGAAAGAGATCGTAGACATACATCTATGATCAAAAACAGTCAACCTTTTCATGTCTTCAACTCGTATTGGCCATGTTTCAGAGAGCCATAGAGAAGGACGGAGCGAACTGCTGAGCAGTACACACGTCCCTTAGTTGATAGCCAAATGTCACGCCTACGCCAGAGATGGTGTGGTGTAAGTTAGCGAAAGCAGTTCGAGCTTTTTGGATCGGATCCGTGCTGAGATTTCGTCGCCAATCAGTCCATTGGTGCTGATTACAACTTCCCAAATAGGTGAAGTGCTCAACATGTTCTATCACTTCACTACCTATCACTACTAAGCTAGGAGTTGACGTAGTCCAGTCCTGTGATAGTGACTATGAAAGCTGAAACAAGCTGACGATTTCAACAACAAACCAAGCCGACTGAATCACTATTATGAACCAGAGTAGATGTGATAAAAAACAGAAGGGGTTGGGGGAAACCTGCCAAAATGGTTCCATTCAGAGATGCAAAAAATATAACAATAACGATATGAAGTTGCCTAATACAGAGACAGATCAAAAACATAATAAAAATAAACAAGAAACTCCGATAAAAAGAAAACAACTAAATTGGTTAATAACTTTTTGTTGATAAAAAACTTTGAGAGATTTAATCAGACCTTGTATATGACATTGAAGGATTTCTAACACATGGAGCCGAGTGTCCTGAGTTCCAGGAAGATTTTATGTTGGCAAACTATAGATACACTCCCGTTCTTCGTTTGCTAGGCAGACAGACTGGAGATCGCTTTATACAAGTGGATGCATAGTACCAGTCAATGGACTCCGCACCACCTCCGAAGCAATACCTATCAAGCTACAAAACTTTGTCCTTCGTTATATTTTGATCTCTGACCGGAAGTAGTTGTGGAGTTGTTTTCATCCCTTCATTATACATTCACGAACGTACAGCCTAGTTGATGACTTCATCGAAAAGGATTTTTTTCGCCTTCAGTGCAACCGTTTTCTTTTCTTTTTAAGTAATCTAATGTGTATAGCCCGCTGTATATTAGACCTGGATTTCGCGCGTGGATGATTTATGTTTGATGTCACACAAAATCGAAGACTTACAAGCGAAAACCGACAAACTGGTCGAAGAAGCAGCCGGTGAAGACAGGACTCCAGGTGAACATAGACAAGACGGAGGTCATGAAAATAACCAACCAACCAACCAACAACAACCACAACAGCAGCAGCAACATCCAGAGCCAGTCACCATCAACGGGAGGGATTTGAAAGAGGTTACTTCATTCACTTATCTAGCTAGGGAGCATGGTATCAACTACAGGAGGAGGAACGGACGAGGATGAAAAATCGAGAATCGGGAAGGCGAGAAACACATTCGTCAACCTGAAACCAATCTGGAAATATTCGTCACTCAGCAACACTCAACAACAAAATTCGGATTTTCAATACAAACGTCAAGTCAGTCAGTTCTTCTTTACGGATGGATCAGAAACTTGGCGGTGGGTCACAAAGAATATTTCCAACAGCCTGTTGCAGAACTTTATCAACAACTGTCTTCGCTCAATACTGAAGATCAGATGGCCGGAAAGAACAAGAATCACCAACAAGAAACTATGGGAACAAACAAACAAAACAAGAACCAATCGCTCAACAAATATGCAGGAGAAAGTAGGTGGAGATGGATTGGACACTCGCTGAGGAGGCCGCTGGGTGACATCGCGCGTCAGGACATCGCTCGAGTGGAACCCGAAAGGGAAGCGGCGAGTGGGACGTCCAAGGGTGACATGGAGGAGACCGTGTGAAGAGAAGTTGAAACTATGGACTAACATGGATGCAGGTGAAAAGTACAGCAGAAGACAGGAGCAAGTGTAGGCTTGCAGTTGAAGCCCTATGTTCCACTAGAAACCCAAGGGAACAATAATATAATAATAAAAGAAAATAGTGACTATACCACTGACGAAATAGAACAGACGTAAATAGAAATAGGAAGTGAGGTGGTAGAGCACGTTGACCGCTTCACTTATTTGGCAATTACCATCAGCCAGTGCCAACGCGTTGATCTCTGATGAAATCTCAACACGGATACAGAGGGCTAGTTTCACATACGCCAGTTTACGCCGTCTCTGGCTTAGTAGACGCGATATCCCACTATCGACCAAAGGGCGTGTGTACCGCTCAGCAGTTCGCTCCGTCCCCCTTTATGGCTGGCTGTGAGACCTGACCACTGAGAGCGGAAACATGAAAAGATTAGCTGTCTCTGATCATAGGTGTCTGCGTTCTATCTCCCGTGTGAAGTGGTACAATAAGGTGAGCAATATTAAGGTTAGGTGTCGAGTGATAGGTAAGGAGGGGAAATCAATCGACGAGACTGTGAAATTACATCGAATGAGATGGTTAGGACATGTGTTACGCATGCATACCTAGTCATCGCCCTCCTCAAAATCGGGCAATGTGAGTTGACATAGGATTGGTCAGGCTGGAAAAGAGCTAGCGGCGGTCAAACCAAAACATGGCCTCACCAGTCAATGAAATCTACAACAGTTAGTCTAAGCCAAGTAGGAAGGTGCAAACTTCCTGACTGGTTGGGGTCCTCGGGACGGTAAAAACCAATGGTTAGAAACAATTGGTGACATAGTTGGCTCCAAATCGTTCTCAATGCCTGGCTGGCGCAGATGCATCCACTCCTTGTGACTCATGATTTCCAATGAAACTGTTTTGTTCTTCGTTATTATTATACCTTTGTCTCACACCTCTGTTTACTGTCTCTCTCTATTAAGCATTTCTCCTACTTTCTTCTCTTGCTTTGTGTGCTACAAGGAGGGAGTGTGGCGAATTGAACTGCCGCACATATGTGCAAAGTTCTACGTCGAAAACCGACCGACCGAGGTTACACTCAGAAATTAACGCTAATCAACTGAAAACATGGCTTTTACTTTACCACATGAATTCACAAAGTTACTGAGCCTCAGTCAACTTATTCCATCAACAGTAATAAAAAACTTGAAATACCTCGTTTAATTTATTTCAAACGTCAAAACTTACCGTATAGTATCATGTTTATCGATGCGTAATTCAGCTGTTTCACCTTCATAAGCATATTCCCATATCCATGCATTTTGTTCATAATCACTAGGATTAGGTTAAAATAAGGGAATGAACACAACTTACTATCTTGATGGTGATCGTAGTTTTTCTGCAGGTATAAGAATGTCATCAAAAAAGTTTAATGATACACGAAGACCACTTTTTGAAACAGATTTTACGATCCCAATAAGAATTTCATCAATAAATGGACGAAAACAAACAATGCGGAAGGTCACTAAAAAAAGAAAGAGAAACTCAGATTTGATAAACAAAAAATTTGATTACCTGCAGTATAATAAGCACCGTCACTATCTGATATGAAACTTTCCTCAACTTTTAAAATGTCCCATAATGAAACGCACAGACCGACTTTATATATAACCTAAAAAGATTTATACACATAATTACCCCAAAATGTTAAACAAATTGGCGATAAGTTTAATATTATGCTAACCTATAGATTGACTTTCAAGAAAAAGATCGTTTATTGCAATGACGCACCAATAAATTATCTTCAGAAATCTCATTATTAATGGATTATAAGTAATTCTCTGGACAGGCATTGAGTGCTCATTGCACTACATTCACATTCCATTGAGTTCAATTACTATTTCAGTAGACTCAAGATTAAATAAAAAGAAGACGATTATACGATTCTCAAATACGCAGTTTAATCCTATCATGTAAGAGTGAACAGTTGGATCAACAATCTTCCCAACCACAAATTAAGATTTCAGAACATAGTCGACATAGAACTACAAACATAACTTTTGAGTTGTTTTAATTTATTCTCATAATGGAAACTACGTTGCTGAATTCCAAATATGCATGCAAGACGAAAATAAGTAAAAGCAACATAATTCAACGAAAATACCTACTTTTCCACAAAAGCGAGCATTTAACTCCTGTTCTATGATTTCCTTCATGTCTGACCCGAAGTAGCTAGGTCTAATTATCACAGTATCCTTCATAGAAATAAGCACGAACATCACATTGATTAGTAGCTCCCGCCTTATACTTGCCACCAAGAATCCAAAGCGTGCAAGATGTTCAATGTTCGAAATTTCGGATTTCAAACCTCAGCATTTTCGGTAGAGGGCAGAAACCTTAAGTTTTATGTGAGCTTATTTTAATAAGTGTTTTTCTCTTAACCTTTTCTCATACTTGTTCACTGGAGCCGCAAACATCAAGAGTTAATTACTCAATGAAACAGCTAGCACACCACGGGGACATAGTTCCTCCTGATCTTTTAAAGTCCCCCTCTGCGCCCCCTCAGATGTTTAGGTCTAATGCAGAAGGTAAAGAAAACAAGTCGGTTCCATATTCATCTTTCATGATTTTAAAGGTCGTGATTAGACACTTGTAAATAGAATATGATAAGAAAAGTGAATTCAAACCGTTAAGTTGATGCTCATATGACAAACTGTGTATATCAGGATTCGCACGCATGGTCTTCCATTTGAAATTTCAGAAATGCATGAATCGAACTCTGGGCGATTGTTATTTGCCCAAATGTAGTTTCCAAGTTTTCTCCTCACTCGAGATGTGAAAGGTTCTGTGCGTTATCTGTATCACAGCTGCAAGCTGCTACTGCGTAACTTTGTGCTGTGGTGTTTGGCTCATGAACCGAGATAATATGTAGATCAGTGTGTGCCTCAAGTGAAAGAAGCTGTATTCCTCTTATGCCTTACGCAATGAAACCTCGATGTCCAATGCATTTAATAGTGCACTGCACTTTGTTGATGAAAAGCGTTCATTCCGCGGATTCATGTAGCAGATTATTTGAACCTGTCTGTGCTGTAAGCATGTCAGTATCACTTTCAAGCTGTTCGCAAGTTATTAAGTCATATGAACAGTAAACGACAGAATTGATGATCCCTTTTTGGTCCACCGGATTAATTATTGGGTTCCGACTCAACATACCAATGCATACTGTTATCCAGGAGGGCTTTTGGCAGAATATCTCAGGCCTACTGGGAGTTTGGCGATCCAGTCAAGCAAGCCCCCCTTTTTCCAAAACTTTCCATTCTCATAATAACCTTTCACTTGGGTGATTCAGGTGTTTTGAGGCGAAACTGTGAAGATGTAGGACTTAAGTTTCGAAGTCTTGTGATTATAATTGATATGATTATGAACAGTAAATTTTGTTCAAAACGTCATCCAGTAAAAAAACTGTTTCACTGTGTGATACATCTAATAAACAAACTAATATGAAAGATGTAGGACCTCTCCAACACGGTATGCTATGAGCAATTGTGTATAATAAGCAGTTGAGAAATCCAGAAGGACAGAATGAGAAACCAAGTAGGAACTACACCTTCTTAATAATTTATCAGGCTTTCTTTATCTATTTAATGATAAACACCCTTCCGTTTACATGACTGGGTGTGCCCCACTTCACTTTGCTTCTGTTGTACACCGAAAATGGAGGTTTATGAACATCATTGGTATTCTACAATATTATGAGTCGCCGGTCGGCACTCTGGATGGTTATTTTGGTAGAAAAGTCAGTTTCTAAAAAACACCAATGGGCTTTTTGTCGTTTTTTCACGCACTTAGTTTTACCTCACTGGGAGGTCTGTTGGATACGCGTTTTTCCACAGAAAATGTTGATTTCTAGATGTGTTGTGGTAATTGTATTGGCTTTACTTTTCTATATCTTGATCTCACAGATGTTAAAACTAAAATTTCGTTTACAATTGAATTTGAGCCTGTTTTAATTCTCAGTGAATTGCAGTCATGCTACCGAGGCTAGCAAAATACTGTCAGTATCAACTAGGTGGAAATCATGTAGTGTCTCCCTGAAATGCTTGTGTTCAGTGAAAACTTAATTTTTTAAGGAGCTAATGAGAGTCTGTGGCACATTACTGTTAAATTAGGGCCACAGATTCTCATTTCAGTCCAACCCAATTTTAAATTACAACAGCTGTCATAAATATGCATAGTTACTTCAGGACACCAGCAGGTGAATGTGGAAAACTGCGGTGTTTGACTCCTGTAAAGGTGAAATTTAACGTCTTTTGCTTCATTTCTGACATAGGTCAAATGCTGTTTACACTGTTATTCAGAACTTACTGCATGTTCCTATTTGAGATATAAGTATACTCTGGTGAAAATTATAATCGCAGGTGAGCTGTGACAAATAGTGCACACTAGACAAATATTGATGAGAGTGAGGTAATACATATTTATTATTTACTCAGCACCCGAAACCTCAAGCATGTGACAAGACTGAAGCGTATCATACTTTCTTTTCAGGCACAAACCAAATCCACTGAGATAGTTCACGGCAGAAAATCTATTTGAGAAGGTTTCACAGCGTTATACATTAATATTTACCAGTAAATATTTCCATATAACACTGTGAAGCTTTATCAAATTAATTTTCTGAATAATGGAATCATAATCTACCACACTGCCCAAGTTCTGTTGATATAGCAATTTCATTTCAGAGTCGTAACTAAAAGTGCTAAGGGAAACCAGAATATTCCGTTAGTTTCGATACCATAAAGACGAAAGATAGATAAAGGAAGAAGACACAGTGAACAGTGAGAATTTCACAAGAAGTTACTGTGAAGGTGAATCGAATTGAAAAATCCAGTAGATGTTAACGATTGCAAATAACATTTACTAGCTAATGAATAACTGGAGGAAAACCACTGATGCACACGTCCCGATCCACTTTGTATCAAAAACGAATGTAAATCAACATATTGGCAAACATTTCGAGTAACCTTCAACCCTAAATCTCCTCCATTAACAAGATAGGAAATAAATCTTTAAATTTGTAATCTGCCAAGTGAGACGTGATGGTAATTAGTCATTCCCCTAAAATCAGCCCAAGCTTCTCGTAAATTTTTTCATGCATCCCTAGCGTTGCGCCTAATGCAATCGTTCATTATGGAACTTTGCTGTTACATGATGTTAAATATGACGAACACTTAGGGGGGGAAGGGGCTCCAAACCATTCATCTTCCTCGAGTAAGTTTTATGTCTTCCTTTGGAGTTAACACGAAAGGGATTTTGGCCAGCTGGAATTTGAAGTAACAGATGAGAAACCTTGAAAATGGTATGGTACTCTATTCCTGAATTTACTTGACTTAACTAGTTCAGACCTTAATCAACCCTCGAAATTCACTCCACAAAATAAAGACTAGTACCTGTGAACTGGTTGGTGTACGCCTGGGATCCAAGCAATAAGCGCAATATCTGTTGTTAAGTAGAATCTTAACTGGGCGTCTTGTTTATTCTGTCAGACTGAATGTGGAGAGACACATAAAATCATCTATACTTTTGTAATTTTTCCCCTAAATACCTACTGAACGAAGAAAAAACATTTGGCTGAGTATCTGTAAAGATGTACATACAGAAGTCAAGGAAACAAAGTACACAAACCACATATAAGTCTTAGCCGGAGATCGTTTGATTTAAAACCAATGGACGGATTACTTCCATAAAAATTGCAGTGCACGCTAAATGAAGCGACCGGATACATTTCGTCTAGTACACCTGAGAATAGTTAGTGAATCCAAAGCTAGTGTTACACAGAACCGTATGCATTTGAAACCATTATCCTGTCAGAAATGAAGGGGTATTTTATCATTTATAATGCTGACGTGAATGCTTGATAACAGTACATAATTTCTCGCACCTAAATGCTATTCGACTGTCATGAAACAAGATGTTACTCGACATCATATAGATCGAAGTCCTCAGTAATACTGCAGATGATCACAAGACCTAGTCAGTAAATCGTTTAAAGGTTTTTGCTGCGTCAGTCGAACCAGGTGATGAGTGAACAATCACAAATAAGACTGAAGGGAACCTCAGAGCAAATACAAGGCTTTTACTGGGTACCACACGTTTATGATAATAATATCATTCTTTTAGAAGATTTGTGAGCTTGACTTAGAGGGAAAGGAATCGTGAATACATAGAACCAAACACCCAACTTTTTAAGTTCTTCAGTCTATAAGGTAGTAGTCTCCAGGTTACCTTATATATTCTAAATCCGCTTTCAAAACCGTGTTAAGAGGTGTTGACTATGGACTCCTACTCGGTGGATGAATTTATTCGAGTTCTAACTGTTAGTACATTATTTAATCTCTAGCTATTTGGACTTTAGTGACGTTTGAACGAAGTTGCTTCGCAGAAACTGTGGCATCATCTGTCAAAGTATGATAACGGACTACATATTTCAGCTGAGCTTCTGGATATTATAGGAGTGTTAACATAGGAAGAGTTTGTGTTTCTCCTACCTGCAGAACTTGAGCGATATTTAAATAATTCATTTTGTTAGGTGTCAGTAAAATTAGATTTCTCCATGAACCATTGTCAGTGAGCAACATTACCTGGTTCTATTATCAGAGGTGAAAAATGGACTAGTATGAGACCCATATTGGATGGCTGTCTATTTGTCTTCGTATGCCACAACAACAATGATAATATTACATTTGACTCAAGTTCTTAACTTGGTCGAACTCACTAAAACACTATTTCGTCAAAATGTTCCAATTCGGTAGTACGGAATAGTGGGATATGCTCTCGAGCACGAAAAATCCCACTATGGCTAAGTAAAGGTGTAGTTAAAACTATTAACAGCTCGATATTAGACCATCTGGTGCAAAGCCAGCGTAGAAGAATGCTTCTCTATAATATACCGGGTGCCTAACAAATTACCAAAATCGTCGAAGCACCACATGCTCCAAACAGCAGAGGCTATTGCAATTCGCCTCAAACAACCAGTGCTCTGTGTCCAAAAGAAACAGGTCCAGCCCTGCCCTGGCCAGCCTTCAGTACAGACTATAAACTCATGAATTTGTACTATTACCTTTCCTAATTCTTCTGACATTCAGTTTATTTTATGTTGATGCTGTTCAGCTGTAATTTATCAATATTATTGATGTGATATTATTTAAACATTAAT